CAGCGGTCTTCCGGCCCCCTGAGAGTGGCAGTGGTAGGATGCTGGTGGAAGCTGATCCCTGTGCATCAGTTGAGTTCCTAGGGCGGCCACACGGGGGCTGCCCAACCTTGGCAGTCCTGCACGCAAGTGGGATGTGGCCTCCGCCCGTGATTGGGCACCTAGTCAGGCTGGCAGATCCAAATGGTGCCCAGTGGGCAGCTGTCCAACCCCTGGGGGGACAAGCCAGGAAAGAACCTCTTAGGGCCCGCTGTGACCAGATGTCCCTCCCAGCTGGGAAGACTAAACTGGTTTGGCCAATATCTCCCAGGATTCCCCTGTCCAAATTATTCCTGGGATCTGACCCATTTCCTGAAAAGGGCCGAGCCTGGGTTTTAAAGTTCAAACTACTTGAGTTTAAATCACAACTCTGCCCCTAATCCCATGTAACCCTGTGCACCTTACTCCCCCCTAAGCCTTCCTCTCATGTGTAACCCTGCTAACTCCTGAGAGACTGGACAAGATGCCATGGAGAGCTTTGGCTCTGAGTAGCTCTGCTGCTGGACAGTCAGTTGGCAGTCCCCAAATGTAAGGTGTAAGAGTTTAAGAAGTATTGGCCAGGCAGTGGCTCACACCTGTAATCCCAGCACTTTGGGATGCTGCGACGGGCCGATCGCCTGAGGTTGGGAGCTTGAGAACTGCCTGAACAACATGGAGAAACCCCGTCTCTACTAAAAATACAAAATTAGTTGGGCATGGTGGTGCGCGCCTGTAATCCCAGTTACTCAGGAGGCTGAGGCAGGAGAATCGCTTGAACCCGGGAGGCGGAGGTTGCGTTGGGCTGAGATAGTGCAATTGCACCCCAGCCTGGGCAACAAGAGTGAAACTTGTCTCCAAATAAAAAAAAAATACAAAAAATAAATTAGCTGGGTATGGTGGTGCACGCCTGTAGTCCCAGCTACAGGGACTGCAGGAGGATCAATTGAATCTGGGAGGTGGAAGTTGCAGTGAGCAGAGAGAACGCCACTGAAAAAGAAAAATGTTCAAAGCATCGTTGTTTACACTCAGCAACTCTGTGAAGTAAGTGCCTAAAAGTGCTTTGGAGGTAGGTAAAGTAAGCCATAGGCTGGGTAGCTTGCCAGATGTCCCACAGCTGCAGCAGCCATCGTTTGAACCCAAGCAACGCAGCTGCAGCCTGGACCTAGCCACTCCAGGGCTCTGTGCCTCAGAAAAGAGGCCCAAAGGGTTGCACTGTAGCTGCAGGCCAGTCACTCCTCTTTCTGGGCTCTAGTTTCCTCTTTTGACCATTAAGGATGAAAACATTTCCCAGAATTGACATGAGAACTCAATGCCAAGCGTCCGATTTGCGCAGCAGCGGGCACTGCGCATCCCAGGTAGGTAGCAGGGTGGAGGTGTCCGCAGCAGGCCTGCAATCCCGCAGCCGCACCGCTCCAGCCACTGGGGGGCAGTCGAGGGCCTAGAAAGAGGCTCAGCCACCTAAGGCTCTTGAAGGTGAATTCCTAGGGCTTCCAGGTCTGGAGCCAGGCTTATTCCTGGGAGGGGGTGGTAACGGGGAATTGAAGTGCAGAGGGTCTAGTGACCCCAGCAGAACACCTGGGGTCCTGGTCCCCAGGGCTACTGTGCCAAATGCACTGCAGAATATTCTTACAGTCTTACCAAGTGGGGGGGTTGTACCCACGTTACAGGAGGAGAAACTGAGTTTCAGATGATCAGTCAGTTGGCAGAGCTGAGATGTAAAAGAATCCTGGAATCTTGAGGCCCAGGCTCTTCTGCGTGGGTGGCAATTGCACCTTTTTAAAATTCTGCACTCTAGGAAGCTGAGGTGGGCAGATCATTTGAGGTCAAGAGTTCGAGACTTTGGCCTGGATCGGTGGCTCACACCTGCAATCCCAACACTTGGAGAGGCCAAGGCAGGTGGATCACCTAAGGTCAGAAGTTCAAGACCAGCCTGTCCAACATGGTGAAACCCCATCTGTACTAAAAAATACAAAAATTAGCCGGGTGTAGTGGCAGGTGCCTGTAATCCCAGCTACTTCGGAGGCTGAGGCAGGAGAATCGCTTGAATGCAGGAGACGGAGGTCACAGAGAGATTGCACCATCACACTCCGGTCTGGACGACAAGAGTGAAACACCATCTCAAAAAAAAAAAAAGAGTTCAAGACTAGCCTGGCCAACATGGTGAAACCCTGTGTCTATTAAAAATACAAAAAAAAAAAAAAAATTGGCTGGGCATGGTGGTGCACACCTGTAATCCCAGCTACTTGGGAAGCTGAGGCAGGAGAACAGCTTGAACCTAGGAGGCGGAAGTTGCAGTGAGCCAAGATTGCACCGCCACTGCACTTCACCCTGGGCAACACAGCAAGACTCTGTCTCAAAAAAAAAAAAAAATTCTGAAATACTTCAGGCATGCAAGTATTCAGCATTCAGTATTCATAATGTAACAAAAACCTATGAAGCACCACCCAGTTTAAGTAACACGGGCAGGGCAGGGTGCAGTGCCTGTAATCCCAGCACTTCTGAGGCCAAGCCGGGAGAATCACTTGAGGTTAGGAGTTTCAGGCCAACCTGGGCAACACAGACCCTATCTTTACAAAAAATTTAAAAAATACTCCGGGCGCAGTGGATCATGCCTGTAATCCCAGCACTTTGGGAGGCCGAGGTGAGCGGATCATGAGATCAGGAGATCGAGACCATCCGGGCTAACACAGTGAAACCCCGTCTCTGCTAACAATACAAAAATCAGCTGAGCGTGGTGGCATGTGCTACTCAGGAGGCTGAGGCAGGAGAATCGCTTGAACCCGGGAGGCGGAGGTTGCAGTAAGCCAAGATTGTGCCATCGCACTCCAGCCTGGGCTACACAGTGAGACTCTGTCTCAAAAGAAAAAAAATTAAAAAAATAGCCGGGCATGGTGGTTGGTGTGCACCTGTAATCCCAGCTACTTGGGAAGCTGAGGCAAGAGAATCACTTGAGCCCAGGAGTTTAAGGTTATGATTGTGCCACTGCACACCAGCCTTGGCGACAGAGAGAGGCCCTATCTCTTAAAAAAAAAAAAAAAAAAGGCCGGGCGCGGTGGTTCACACCTGTAATCCCAGCACTTTGGGAGGCCGAGGCGGGTGGATTGCGAGGTCAGGAGATAGAGACCATCCTGGCTAACATGGTGAAACCCTGTCTCTATTAAAAATACAAAAAATTAGCCAGGCGTGGTGGCAGGCGCCTGTAGTCTCAGCTACTCGAGAGGCTGAGGCAGGAGAATGGCGTGAACCCGGGAGGCAGAGCTTGCAGCAGTGAGCCAAGATTGCGCCATTTGCACTCAGCCTGGGCAACAGAGCGAGACTCTGTCTCAAAAAAAAAAAAAAGTGGCCAGCCACAGTGGCTCCCACCTGTAAAAAAAAAAAAAAAAAAAGTGGCCAGCCACAGTGGCTCCCACCTGTAATCCCAGCACTTTGGGAGGCTGAGGTGGATGGATTACCTGAGGTCAGGAGTTCGAGACCAGCCTGCCCAACATGGTGAAACCCGGTCTCTACAAAATTTAGCCAAGCGTGGTAGTGGCCGCCTGTAATCCCAGCTACTCAGGCTGAGGCAGGAGAATCGCTTGAACCCGGGAGGCGGAGGTTGCGGTGAACCAAGATCACACCACTGCACTTTACCCTGGGTGACAGAGTAAGACTCCGTCTCAAAAAAAAAAAAAAAAAAAAAAAGTAACACAGGAAATAAAACCAAGACAAGATGAGCTCTCTGTGTGTCCCTCCCCAGACCCAACCCTGGCGTCCCCCAGAGGTAACCCCTCCCAGGAACTGGGCGTTTGCCACTCCCCTGCACGGGTCTACACCTCTACTACAAACGTGTGTCCCTAAGCAGCGCATGCCTTTTGAAAACAACTCAACTGTATCATGCTACAATATTTTTTCTGATGTTTGTGCTGTTTCTGAGACAGCCTTATGACGCCTTCCCCTATTCTGTAGCATTCTGTTGGCTCACTTTGCCACAGTGTATGCACCCATTCTCCCATGAATGGACTTTTCATTTGCTTCTCAATGTTTGCTACCAAAAATCTCCCTGCAATGAATTTATTTTATATATCCCTCGTAAGTGTGTGTGAGGGTCCCCTAACTGCTCACAAATATCTCAGCAACTCCGCCCTCCCCACTCAGACCTCATTTCCCTCCTACCAGACATGCTCAAAGGAAACTGGGAGCAACACAAAGACGACTTTGAATCTCTGTTCACCACCCTTAGACTGTATGACAACAGCAAGTAACAACCTCCCCTCTCTGGCCTCAGTTTCCCCCTCTGTAAATGGGGGATGGCCTACCTTGCCCAGTCATGGCAGGTCAATATAAAACAACTTCTGGCTGTGCACAGTGGCACACGCCTGTAATCCCAGCACTTTGGGAAGCCGAGGCAGGAGGATTGCTTGAGGACAGGAGTTCAAGACCAGCCTGGGCAATATAGCAAGATTCCATCTCTCTAAAAAAAAAGAAGAAAAATATATGTTATTATTATTATTATTTGAGATGGAGTTTCACTCTTGTCACCCAGGCTAGAGTACAATGGTGTGATCTCAGCTCACTGCAACCTCCACCTCCTGGGTTCAACTGATTCTCCTGCCTCAGCCTCCTGAGTAGCTGGGATAACAGGCATGTGCCGCTACATCCAGCTAATTTTTGTATTTTTAATAGAGATGGGGTTTCACCATGTTGGCCAGGCTGGTCTCAAACTCTTGACTTCAGGTGGTTCTCCCACCTCAGCCTCCCAAAGTGACTCTTGCTCCTGCCTGCCTCTGTGAGGCTGTAGACGCCCCTTCTCCTTCGCTGGGCTCCCTACAGTCCCACGTTGGCCCAGCTTGGCACAGATACGATTTATATAGGCATCTTCCCTGGCTCCCCTACCCTCTGCCTCCTCTTCCCTTTCCCTGAGCCCCCTTCCCTCTGCCTGTGCCCTCTCTGCAGCCTCCACATCTCTCCCCACCTCCCGCCACCATACCTGGCCTGAGCGTGAGCCACCATACCTGGCCTGTTTTCTTAACAAAGAATTCCAATAAAGAGCTGATCGTGGCTCTAACTCCTTGAATACCAGAAACACCATCTCATATCACATAATGAGACAGGGAGACATTCTGGTCCTCATCTCACAGATGAAAAATGTCAAGGTTCAAAGGATCAAAGTGCCCACCTAGTCACACGGGTACTCAGCCACAGGTCAGCCTGCCTTATTTATTCTTCATGAGCATTTATAGTGACTAACATTTACTGAGCGCCTACTATGGGCCATTTCTGTGCATGCAACAACCCCTTTAAGTCCTTGTTTCTAATCAAGAAGCAAGGAAATGGGGTCAGGGAAGGGACAAGGTTTCCCCAAGTCCAGGCAGGGGCAGAGGTCAAGCTCAGAACCATCACCTGCCCACGGCACATGCCCAGGACTCAGGTTCCCTAGGCTTCCTTCCAAAGGCTCAGCAGTGACGAGCCAGCCCTTGAACCAGCCTCTTCCCCCACCCAAGCAGCCACCTCTCAGGGGAATTGTGGCCACCACAGGTGCAGGGAGCAGTTCCTCTCCACTCACAGCCTGAAGCCTACCCGGCAGGGGCTGTCCCCAGGCCCAACAAGCAAAGGGCCCAGCAGCGAGGGCCACTGGAGCCCATCTCCGGGGGGCTGGGCAGGAAGTAGGGTGGGGTTTGGGGTAGGGATCTGGTACCCCGGGACTGCTGCAACTCAAACTAACCAACCCACTGAGAGAAGATGCCTGGGGGTCCAGGAGTCCTCCAAGCTCTGCCTGCCACCATCTTCCTCTTCTTCCTGCTGTCTGCTGCCTACCTGGGTATGTGGCCAAAGGGCAGGAACTGGTGGGAGGCGGGGGAAGATGTGGAGGCTGCAGAGAGGGCCCAGGCAGAGGGAAGGGGGCTCAGGGAAAGGGGAAGAGGAGGCAGAGGGTAGGGGAGCCAGGGAAGATGCCTATATAAATCGTATCTGTGCCAAGCTGGGCCAATGTGGGGCTGGAGAGAGCCCAGTGAAGGAGAAGGGGCGTCCACAGCCTCACGGAGGCAGGCAGGAGCAAGAGTCACCTCCCCCACCTCCTGCTCCCCACAGGCCAAAATAAGGAACTAAAGTTGCTCTTGACTGAGCACCAGGGCTGGGGGCAGGAAGGGGACTTGAGGGTAGTAGCATTCAATGTCTGTCAAGGGGAGAAAAAGCTTTATCTGCCTTAAACCTCAGGTGCCTCTCTGTGTTGGGAATCCCTTCTGAGCACTGGGGGAACAGATGTCTCATAGACTCCTCCTCACCCACTCAAGGACAGCTGGCAGGGGCTGTGGCCACGCTAACCCAGGAGTTCAGAGAAAAAGTTTCCCCACCCAAGCGGACACTGGGAGCAAGGATTGGAGTTCACGTCTGAGTCTTAAGCCCATGATGATGAGGGTGCTCGGCCCCTCTCCCCACCTCTTCCTCCTTCTCTCTTCCTCACTTCCCTCCTCCGCCTACCTCCAGAAGAGGGGGCCAGCCATGTGGGAGGCCTGGCTGAGAGCTGGGACTTCCCAGAGGAGCCCAGATTGCACACTGCAGCCAGCCTGAGCAGCCCGGTCTCACTCAGAGACACCCCCAGTCTCCACCCCGCTCTGAACCCCTTCGCTCACCAGCAATCCAGCCCAAGAACTGAACTCACCCCTGACCCCTAGGTTGACACATACAACTTACAGAGAATGAGGGCCAGGCACAGGGTCACAGGCCAGGGCAGGCCACAGACTGGCTCCTCAGCCCAGGCAGGGAGAGGCCAGGGAGCCATGAGTTTGAACCCAGTGCCACTCCTGACTGTCTGGTGATGCTGGCAAACCGCCAGCCCTCCCAGGGCCTCAGCCATCCCTCCTGTAAAATGGGGCTAAGGAGATAACCTACTTCTAGGGTTCTGTGAATGATTACACAAGAAAAAGTGCCAGGTGCAGGGCCTGGCTGAGGCTGGGGTGCAAAAATAGACTGGGAAGGCTGCGGGAGGAGGGGATGCCTGCACTGCTTCTGGAAGGAGCTGTCTGGACAGCGGTCCTCCAGTGCCTTGAACAAACATCCAAAATCCAGAGAGTTCACAGGGCCCAGAGCACAAAGTGGGTATGTGGGAAGAGGGCAAGAGATGGCGCTGCAGAGGTGAGAAGGGCCTCCCAGGGGTCTCACCATCCCAGGGAGTCTCATTCTCCTCCCCCAGGATGTCCTCACCCACCCCAACCAGTTCTGTCCTCTCTCCCTCCCCAGGGGCCTCTTCACTTTCCCGCATCCCCCTCTCCCCAGGATGCATCAGCCCCTGTCAAGGGCTGTCCCTCTCCCTCCCCACCCAAGAGAGTTCTCACCCTCCTCCCCTCCCCACCCAGAATAGTCCTCACCCTCCTCCCCACCCCAGAATAGTCCTCACCCTCCTCCCCTCCCCACCCAGGAAGTCCTCCACCCTCCTCCCTCCCACCCAGGAGAGTCCTCACCCTCCTCCCCTCCCACCTGAGGAGAGTCCTCACCCTCCTCTCCCCCACCCAGGAGAGTCTCACCTCCTCCCTCCGCACCCAGAAAGAGTCCTCACCTCCTCCCGCCACCAGGAAGTCCTCACCCTCCTCCCCTCCCACCCAAGTCCTCACCCTCCTCTCACCCTCCTCCCCTCCCCACCCAGGAGAGTCCTCACCCTCCTCCCCTCCTCACCCAGGCATGTCCTCACCCTCTTCCCAGGAGTGCTGGAGCTGCAGGGGCCACGGCTGGAGGCATGTGTCGCCATCCCTAGTCCCTGACCCACCCACCCTGCCTCTCCACAGGCCCTGGGTGCCAGGCCCTGTGGGTAGATGGGGGCCCAACATCATTGATGGTGAGCCTGGGGGAAGAGGCCCACTTCCAATGCCTGCACAATGGCAGCAACGCCAATGTCACCTGGTGGCGCATCCTCCATGGCAACTACACGTGGCCCCCTCAGTTCGTGGGCGAGGGCCAGGGCTACAATGGGACGCTGACCATCCAGAACGTGAACAAGAGCCACGGGGGCATATACCTGTGCCGGGTCCAGGAGGGCAATAAGCCACACCAGCAGTCCTGCGGCACCTACCTCCGTGTGCGCCGTGAGTGGCCCAGCCCTGGCCCCTATTCCCACTTTCCCACTGGGGACACTCGGTTTCTCTTTGAAGTGGGGATAGAGCCAGTACCTTCATTGTGGGTTTCAAACCGGCTTGGACAGAGGGACTGAAGTTCTCCTCTGCAGAGTCGGGGGTCTGAGGGGTCTGGGGCCTTGCAGGGGGTGGCGGGTCCAGGAGGCTAGGGAGAACAGGAGGTGCCAGGGCTTTGAGCCACACCACCCCCTTGCAGATCCGCCCCCCAGGCCCTTCCTGGACATGGGGGAGGGCACCAAGAACCGAATCATCACAGCCGAGGGGATCATCCTCCTGTTTTGCGCGGTGGTGCCTGGGACGCTGCTGCTGTTCAGGGTGAGCCTCCTCGGACCCCCGAGTCAACCGGGCAAGGGCCTGGACTGAGGGACCCCCCGATGCCCAGGTAGCCCTCTAGAGCCTGAGGTTCCCATCCAAAACTTGGGAGAATGAAAGCACCCACCACATAGGGGCTGCGGAAGTTAAATGAATGAATATAAAGAAGGGACCTGAACTGGCGCTGGACCCAGGGGGTGTCTTCAATTTAGTTCCCCTTCTGGGCTGTCCTCACGTCCACCTCCCTGCAAAAAGAGTCTCATTCTTCCCCCTAAGAGTGTCCTCACTCTCCTCCTGCCCTCACCCCGGAGTGTGGTTACCCTCCAGGTATAGCCAAGACCAGGGAAGGTGGGGCCTGGGGGTCCTCCCAGAATCTGTGATCTATACCGGCCTCTCCTCAGCCCCCACAGAAAGTGTGACTGTTACTGTTATTATTCATGGAAAATAGTAAGGGAGTGGAGAGTCAAGAAGACGCTAACTTGGGAGGCCGAGGCAAGAGGATCACTTGAGGCCACAAGTTTGAGACCAGTCTGGGCAACACAGCAAGACCCTATCTCTATCAAAAAAAAAAAAAAGTCTTAAAAAAAAGTTAGCCAGGCATGGCTAACCTCTAGTCCCAGCTACTCAGGAGGCTGAGGTGGGAGGATCACTTGAACCTAGAAGTTCAAGGCTGCAGTGAAATATGATGTTGCCACACCACTCCAGCCTGGGCAGCTGAGGGAGAAGAAAGAAAGAGAGAAAGAGAGAGGGAGGAAGGGATGGAGGGAGGAAAGGAAGGAAGGAAGGAAGGAAGGAAGGAAGGAAGGAAGGAAGGAAGGAAGGAAGAGGGAAAGGGGGGAGAGGGAGGAGGGAGGGAGGGAGGGAGAGAGAGGGAGGGAGAGGGAGGGAAGAGGAAGGAAAGGAAGGAAGAGAAAGGAAAGGGAAGGAAGGAGAAAGGGAAGGGAGAAAGAGGAAAGAAAAGAGAGAGAAGAGAGAGAGAAAGGAAGGAAAGGAAGGAAAGGAAGGAAGGAAGGAAAGAGGAGAAGGGAAAGAGAGGAAGGAAAGGAAAGAAGGAAGGAAGGAAGGAAGGAAAGGGCAGAGACGAGACGGACACTGGTGATTGCTTGGGAAGGAAGGAAGGAAGGAAGGAAGGAAGGAAGGAAGGAAGGAAGGACGGACACTGGTTGTAGACTCACAGAGAACTGCTACCAGTATGTGGCCTTGGGGACATCTCTTACCCTTTCTGGAAAAGCACTTCCTGGCATCTAGGAGGGTCTGAAAGATATTCATCTCCCCCCGCTCACTGAGGCACCCACCCCACACACCCCCACAGAAACGATGGCAGAATGAGAAGCTCGGGTTGGATGCCGGGGATGAATATGAAGATGAAAACCTTTATGAAGTGAGTGAAGGGTGGCAACGGGGTGGGGCAGTTGTGTTAGGGGTGGGGGCGTTCCCTCTGGGGGTGGCTGGGGACAGGGACCCCAGGTGTCAGGGTGCTGATGTTCGCTGCCTTGTTTCCACCCCAGGGCCTGAACCTGGACGACTGCTCCATGTATGAGGACATCTCCCGGGGCCTCCAGGGCACCTACCAGGATGTGGGCAGCCTCAACATAGGAGATGTCCAGCTGGAGAAGCCATGACACCCCTACTCCTGCCGGGCTGCCCCTGCCTGCTGTGGACCCAGCTCCAGTGTCTCAGTTCACTTCCCTGGGACATTCTCCCTTCAGCCCTTCTGGGGGCTTCCTTAGTCATCTTCCCTCGGTGGGGAGTGGGGGGTAATCTCACTCTTCTCCAGGCCAGGCCTCCTTGGACTCCCCCGGGGCTGTCCCACTCTTCTTCCCTCTAAACTGCCCCATCTCCTAACCTAATCCCCCCCTGCTGCCTTTCCCAGGCTCCCCTCACCCCAGTGGGTAATCAGCCCTTAATCACTGCCTCCAGGGGAGCTGATTGTAGCAGCTCCCCTGTCACCCCCTCCTCCATGATCTGTCAGTGTCACCCCCTTCTCCATGATCTGTCAGGGCCACTTAGTAATAATAAATTCTTCCCAACTGCAGACCTTGGCAGGAGTCGTGGATCTTATGGGAACTGCCTCTCCCACCTGCCCCTCAGACCCAGGAGTCCCAGCCCAAGCCACCCCCTATCCACTCCCCACACCTGAAACCAGGCAGCCAGTCTGGGCTGCCTTCCTGGGAGAACAGGATGTCTCTTGGGAAGGTCCCCAGCCCAGCTGAAGGACTGGTTTGGCCCTCTTTGCAAGGCCTCACCCTAGGGTCATGTCCTTAAGCAAGAAGGGGACAAGATCAAGATAGGTGTGACTACCAAATTATTTATGCTTTTTTTTAAGATAGAGTCTCACTCTGTCACCCAGGTTGATATGCTCACTGCAACCTCCACCTCCTGGGTTCAAGCAATTCTCCTGCCTCAGCCTCCCAAGTAGCTGGGATTATAGGCACCTGCCACCATGCCCAGCTAATCTTTGTATTTTTAGTAGAGGTGGGGTTTCACCATGTTGGCCAGGCAGGTCTTGAACTCCCGACCTCAGGTTATCTGCCCGCCTTAGCCTCCCAAAATGCTGGGATTACAGGCGTGAGCCACTGCGCCTGGCCGCTTTTTTTTTTTTTCTTTGAGACAGAGTCTGACTCTTGTCGCCCAGGCTGGAGTGCAGTGGCGCAATCTCAGCCCACTTCATCCTCCACCTCTCAAGCTCAAGCGATTCTTGTACCTCAGGCTCCTGAATAGCTGGGATGACAGGCATGTGCCACCACGCCCAGCTAATTTTTGTATTAGTAGTGACAGCGTTTCGCCATGTTGACCAGGCTGGTCTCGAACTCCTGACCTCAAGTGATCCACCATGCTTCGGTCTCCCAAAGTGCTGGGACTACAGGCGTGAGGCACTTTATGCGTATTTAAGCCTTGGAAACACAGGGACTATCTTGCGGGGCTAGTACAGAATTCAGACTGCAGCCTTTTCCCGATGGGTTGACTTACAGAAGGGGCATTTTGGAGGGTCTGTAGTCCTAACCTGGGGATAGCAGGAAGATCCAGGGGCAATGACAGAGAGGCACAGAGACACGGATTTCCTGAGAAAGGGAGAGGAGAGAGGTTGAGACCCAGGGATCGTGAAGGGGACGAGCAAGTGAAGGAAGAGAGGATGAGACCCTGGGAATCCGGCAGAGAGACAGGGACGTGGAGAGAAAGAGGGACAGAGACAGAGCGAGAAGGAAAGGAAGAAACACAAGGGAGAAGGGGCAACCGAAAATGGGCACGAAGAGGCCCAGGCACAGCAACAGCTGGGGAAATGACAGAGACTGAGACGGAGATGCAGAAAGATACAGAGAGACCCGGAGAGGGTAGAGAAGAGCTCTCGGGGAGAAAGTGATGAAGGGACAGAGAGGAGAGGTGGAGGCCAAGGAGGGAAAGACCCCAATAGAGAAAGACAGAGGGACAGAGAAGGGGACGCAGACGCAGGCGGGAGCATACCCACAGAGGCGAAGGAAGGGCGCAAGACCAAGAGAACCACAGACGCGGAAAGCCGGGGAGGTCGGTGTGGCTCGGTGTGGGGCGCACGGGGAGCAGGGCTTGCCCCCCAGCACCTCCGGGGAGGTGACCCCAGCCAGGAGATGCGAGCCCCGCGGAGCCCGCGCCCGGCGGACGGACCGATGGACAAAGCCGGGGAGAGCCCGGGCGCGGCCGGGGCGGGGCCGGTGCCTGCGGGGACCCGGGCGCAGCGGGGAAGGAGGGGCGGGCAAGCGGCGAGAAGGGGAAGGAAGCGGAGGTGCCGGGCGGGCGCGGGGCGCGGGCAGGAAGCGGGGAGGGGCGGCGGGGCGGGGGCCTCCGGAAAAACGCCCCGACTTCCTGCCCCGCCAGAGCCAGGAAGCGGGAGCCGGGACCCAGGGCCCGGGATTGCCGAGCCCGACCTCGGGCGCCCCGCCGGTCACCTCCGCGCGGACACCAGGTACTCGGTCTCCGGCCCCGCCCGGCTTCCTCCCCTCGGCTGCTGGGGGAAGTGGGGTGGAGGAGGGAGGGGCTGGGGCGCTGCCGCCAGCGGAGGGGCCTCCTTCGGACCCCACGGAGCCAGCGGCCGCACCTCCTCGGGCCTCAGTTTTCCCATCTGTTAAAGGGAGCAAAGAGGGGAGAACTCACACTTGACGAGTACCCCCTAGGTGGGGACGAACGGTGCGAGGCCGGGGCCAAGGCCTCCCATCTGCTCAGTGGAGGACAGACCATCACTCCCATTGTACGGGTGGGGAAACCGAGGCCCGGGGAGCCAAACCGACTCGTCCCAGGGAACGCACATCGTGAGACAGTGTGGAGTTGGGATTTGAACTCGCACGTGCTTTCCGCAAAGCGCCATCCTCCAACCTCCGCATGCTTTAGGGCCACCTAAAAAAGAAAAACAACAATAACAACGACGAGGGCCGCTGTGAAGCTGAAAGTTGCAGAGTGCATTTGAAAGAGTTTTAGGAAAGCTCTTTTCTAGGTCATTAATTATACCGTGGGAGACAAGTGTAGGGAGAGAGCTGGAGGCCTTCTCCCATTGTACAGATGGGAAGACTGAGGCCTGCATAGTAGTCATTACTTTTTGCAGATTACACTGCATGTCAGAGGGAAAGATGTGCTGGAACTCAAGACTTTTGCTTTTCCAGTTCCAAAGGAAGGGGGGTGGGGTGGGGGACGGAGGGGATTGATGTACAAGCGTTGGAAATTCAGCGGGTCCCCTAAGTGGGGAGACTAATAGGACGGGGAGCCCCAATCCGCGGTCCCAGTGCTCAGCGCCGGGGTGACTCGGAGATCTCGGATCGAACTCGGGAGGAGTTGCACTCATCTGCACCTCCGGGCGCGGGGCGGGGCCCGGGGAGTGACGGGGGCAGTCGAGATACGGAAACGCCGGCCCTCCAAGACAGGCCAGAGCGGCCCTATCTGGCCTGCGTGGCGCAATGCAGCGCTAGAGCGGCCGGAGGGAGGAGTAGAGTCGTCGGGGCCGGAGCCTGGCAGGAGCCGGGCTAGAGCGGCTGGCAGGAGGAGTGGAGCTGGGCGCAAAGGTGGACTCAGGGCGGCTAGAGCGACGCGGCGGCAGGGGTGGGGAGAGTGCGGAGCCGGCGCGCGGAGGCTTCGGTTCCGGTGGCGGTGGTGGCTTCTCTTTCCACCTGGAGCAGGTGAGGGACGCGGTCCCCAGCGGGCGTCAGACCCTGACTCTGCACGTCCTCTCCGGCATCCCTAGCCGTGCACACTGCCACGTCCCCCGTAGGATTTAGGGCCCGCGTAAGACCGGCCACGTCCATGTAAGATTTGGGGCTCGTGTAGACCAGCCACATTCCGTATAGATTACAAAGTCTTTCAGACCCTCCAGGTTCCTGCAAGCCCCCCATGGATAACTGGTTTCTCATAGACGTGGGGTCCTCATAGATAAGGAGCATCCCCTGGAATCCGGGGCTCTACAGACCATGGGTCTCGGGACCCACCACGCACCCCTATGGAATTCTGAGCCCCTTTTAAGTCTCCGGAGGTTCCACAGACTGGCAGTTGTCCCTACAGAATCATGATGCTGTATGATCCCTGGATCCTTTAGACCCACTGTGTGTCAAATAGAATCTGGGGAGTTACACATTCCAATGACTCCTTTTAGGTTCTTTAAGGCTCCCAGAAGTTCTTGGAGACCCCGAGTCACCTGCTCAACACCTTATAGACCCTGAGCCCTCCATAGAACTCAAGCACCCATGTAGCCCCCCAACCCATGGACCTTCTAAACCAGCCCTAACCCCCCAGCGCCCAATGCACGTAGTGCTCCCTCTGCTGGACCCGCCACCCCCCACCCCCAGGCCTTGTCAGTTGCCTGTAGAGAGATCCATGTATTCTCTGACAGCTTCACCTATAATTCTCCAGCCTTTGTGGGACCCCCCCAACCCCTCGTCCTAAACAAGCAACACTCCTCGCCTCCATCATCTCCAGCCCCCAGGCCTCTGTGGAGCAGCCGTATCCAACTTGCACTCCTGCCTAGGCCACAGTGACCACATACCCGTGGCTTTTCCAGGCATCCATAAGAAGACGTGATTTGTCTCAGAGCTTTGATTCACATTTTAGTTTGTGAAGGGTAGGGTGGGGACTCCCCATGCTCTGAAGCAATGCCCTCTGTTTTGTTTTATTTTGTCTTATTTATTTATTTATTGAGACGAAGTCTCACTTCTGTCACCAGGCTGGAGTGCAGTGGCGCGATCTCAGCTCACTGCAAGCTCCGCCTCCCGGGTTCAAGCGATTCTCCTGCCTCAGCCTCCGGAGTAGCTGGGACTACAGGCTCGCGCCACCATGCCCAGCTAATTTTTGTATTTTTAGTAGAGACAGGGTTTCACTGTGTTGGCCAGGATGGTGTTGATCTCTTGACTTCGTGATCCGCCTGCTTCCGTCTCCCAAAGTGCTGGGATTACAGGCGAGAGCCACCACGCCCGGCCTGTTTTATTTTAAGACAAAGTCTCACTCTGTTGCCCAGGCTGGAGGGCAGTGGCCCAATCTTGGCTCACTGCAACGTCTGCCTCCTGGGCTCAAGCGATCCTCTCACCTTAGCCTCCCAAGTAGCTGGGACTGCAGGCATGAGCCACCACACCTGGCTATCTTTTGTAGAGACAGGGTTTCACCATATTAGCCAGACTGGTCTTGAACTCCTGAGCTCAAGTGATCCACCCGCCTTGGTCTTCCAAACTGCTGGGATTACAGATGTGAGCTACTGGGCCCACCAAATGCAGTTTATTTTAAATGCATAAACTCTGTAGCCCGATTGCCTAGGTCTGAGTCCTGGTTCTGCTTCATATGAGCTGTGCCTCAGTTTCCTTCTTTGTTAAATGGAGATGAGAATAATAATAATCTCTTGGAGTCACTGAGAGGATTAAATGAGTTATTACCTGTAAACCAGCGATGTCATGCCTGGCACTTACTAAGTGTCTCTTATGTGTCAGCTATCATTTCATTATCATTGTGATAAGGAATAAGGAGGCCGGGCCCGGTGGCTCAAGCCTGTAATCCCAGCACTTTGGGAGGCCGAGACGGGTGGATTATGAGGTCAGGAGATTGAGACCATCCTGGCTAACACGGTGAAACCCCGTCTCTACTAAAAAAAAAAAAATACAAAAAACTAGCCGGGCGAGGTGGCAGGCATCTGTAATCCCAGCTACTCGGGAGGCTGAGGCAGGAGAATGGCGTAAACCCGGGAGGCAGAACTTGCAGTGAGCTGAGATCCACCACCACTGCACTCCAGCCTGGGGGACAGAGCGAGACTCCGTCTCAAAAAAAAAAAAAAAAAGGAATAAGGAGATAAGAACTTGGCAAGCACACAGTTCCAGACCTGGCACCAAGCACTTGCAGAGATAATGAGCATCCCCTCCTTTGCCTTTTGTTTTGTTTTGTTTTGTTTTTGAGACCGAGTCTTGCTCTGTCACCCAGGCTGGAGTGCAGTGGCGCATGGTCTCTGCTCACTGCAAGCTCCGCCTCCCGGGTTCATGCCATTCTCCTGCCTCAGCCTCCCAAGTAGCTGGGACTACAGGCACCCACCACCATGCCCAGCTAATTTTTTGTATTTTTTTTAGTAGAGACGGGGTTTCACCATGTTAGCCAGGATGGTTTCGATCTCCTGACCTCGTGATCCGCCCACCTCAGCCTCCCAAAGTGCTGGGATTACAGGCGTGAGCCACCGCGCCCAGCCTCCTTTGCCTTTTTTTAATCTCCCTGCCTCAGTTGAGCATTTCTGCCTGTGAGTGGGATGAGCATGCACCCTCCACGTCCGTGGTCATGTTTCATAGTGAGACAGGGTCTCACTGTGTTGCCCAGGCTGGTCTCGAACTCCTGAGCTCAAGCGATCTTCCCACCTTGGCCTCCCAAAGTGCTGGGGTTACAGGCATGAACCACCTCGCCTGGCCAATTTGCAAATTTATTAAAGTGAATGTTTAGCAGTGCTTGAATCTTGAATTGCCCGAGCTTAGATATTGGACAAATACTCTTTATGGGAAAGAATAAAAATGATGCCTTCCCCAGGTGGACCCTCAGGGTGGCATTTGGGCACTCCAGAAAGCATCATTGTTTAATCATCAAAATCCTGGTTACCATTTACTGGGGAGCTAGGGAGGAGGCCCATAAAGCAGGAGAAGGGCGGGTCTCTGCCAGCTAGGGTTATAAATAGCTTTGGGCTGTGGGGAGCCCCCCCACTGGTCCACCCCACCCCTCTTTCCACAGCTCCTTCCCGCCTGACACGGGCTCCGTGGCATTAGTCAGACTAATTAAGGACACAGAAGATGTCGGTGGAAAGACTCAGAGAGAAGTGGAGACTCAAGGAGAGACAAAGATGGGAAAGACAGCAAGAGATGGGGGAGAAAAAGGGATGGAGAGAGATGAGAGACAGCACTTGAGACCGTGACTCAGAGAGGTGTGAGGATGGTAGCTGCAGAAACCAGATGTGGGAGGACAGAGGCACAGAGACAGGGACAGGACAGACAGAGCTACAGAAGCAGGAAGGGGGTGTCACCTCTGAGAAGGACAGATGGAAGGAGGGGAGGCAGGGACGGTGGGGAAAATGAGACAGTTCTGGAGGAAGGCAAAGAGAAAAATCAGGAAACAGGGTGAAGAGAGACCAAGACATGAGACAGATTCGAGGGACAGACAGCCAAGGAGAGCCGGCTGCAGACAGACCAAGGTGCACGTAGGGTGGAGGAGACAGACGCACCTTGGAGATGGGCTGTCTGAGGTCCCATCACTTATTTTCCAGGACTGGAAGCCTGGGAAGAGAAGAGGTCCCTGGGGGAAAGAACTGGGTTTGGGGACTCCTGGTCCCTGAGGGAGGAGGGTTCTGAGTTTTGTTTTCTTATGTGGAGAGTTGGGGGTTGGGGGTTTGTCATTGTGACTTCCTGTCACAGGAAGTGGGGCTGGTGGGTTCCAAGCAACATCCTGCCCCAGGCCTGTCACAGATCAGAGGAGACCCCTGCACCCCACTTCTCTCCCGCCTCTCCTCTAACGCTCCCATCCCAGCTTGCCTCTAGGCTGTGCTCTCAGGAATTAGCCCCCAGGCCTCTGATCCCTCCAACCTGGGAGTCCAGTCCCCCAGCCCCCTCTTCCATGAGAGTGTTAGGGACTCCAGATTGCAGGCTCTCAGACTCAGCCTTCCCATGGACCCAGGCTCCTGAGCCTCCAATGCCTGCCCCCGCAAGTCTCCCGTCCTTGGGCTCCCGCCCCCTGGCGGGTCTCTGAAGGGCTCTTTGTGGCCACACAGAGGCCCCATTGAGCTGCGGAGGCCGGGATGGGGGAGGCTGTTTACTCACCTTCACACCTGGGCCAGGAATCTGTGAGTAACCACCCTGGGCCACCTCCTCCCACCCTCCTAACCGCAGCCCCTCCTCTTCCCCCAGCCCTGCAGAGCCCAGGGAGATGGAAGACGTAGCCCGAGGGGCGGTGAGTGGACAGAGCAAGGGGTGAGGGGACTCTGGGGCTGTGGGTGGGGAGTTCTGTGGACTGAAGCTGCCCTCCCCTTCCACAGGCCTCCCCAGGCCCCTCCCGGCCTGGCCTGGTTCCCGTCAGCATCATCGGGGCAGAGGATGAGGATTTTGAGAACGAGCTGGAGACGGTGAGTGGGAGATAGGGTGGAAAGCTCTGTCCCAGGCTCAGCATCCTGCCCCGGGTCCTCTCCCACCCGCAGATGTGTCTTCTCGGCCTCTTCCCACGGTCTGTCCCATCCTCTCATCTCCGTGGTACCTCCCTCCTCACCTCGCCGACCCCATACTCGGAGCCCACACAGCAGCATGGATGCCCACCCTTCTTACTCTTAACCCCATTTCTTATCATTGCTCTCTCCTCCCCCAGCAGGGACCCCAATTTTTTCTCTCCTAATTTCTGTCCTCATCATCCACCATTATAATATTAAGTCTCATCCATTCTCCCTGACCACCTGCCCTTGCTGTCATCATTATTTCATGGACACTGTCACCACTCCCCACTTCCCAGGAGCTAACCCTGGCTTGGATCCCTTGTGAAGTACCAGGAATGGGTAGGGTCAACCCCAAGGCCCCTCCTCTTCTCCCCATTGTACTCACCCCTGCCTGAACCCCCAGAACTCAGAAGAGCAAAACAGCCAGTTCCAGAGCCTGGAGCAGGTGAAGCGGCGCCCAGCCCACCTCATGGCCCTCCTGCAGCACGTGGCCCTGCAGTTTGAGCCAGGACCCCTGGTGAGGGCAGGGCTGGGTGGGCACAGGGAGGGGTGGGGCTGGGACAGGCACAGCTTTTGGCGAATTAAACCAGCGAGCTAGTGCTGGGAGGGTCTGGAAAAGCAGATCTAGAAAACAGAGTGCCAGATCTAGAAAGAGAGAATGCCTTAGACAAGAGCCAGAAAGCACGCCATGTGACCTCAACAGGCTTACAGGTGCCCAGGGTAGATCTCAGTGCACAGCGGGCAGGGTACACATGGCAGGACCCCGCAGAGCCACAGAGAGTCCAGCAGCCTGGCAGAAACCACATCCCGTCCCACTTTTTGCCTGTGGCAGCGCTCCCCATCAGCCTGTGGCAGTGCCCTTCCGTGGACTCTGGGGTACCAAATCCTTCTCTCCAAAGCCTTCTCGGCAGATGCCAGCACGCAGTCATTCAGGGTTGGTGCTTGGGGGAAGGCTGTTAGCCATCCCAGGTGTAGGGGGCACAGCAGGCCCTGATCCAGAAACAAGAAAACTACCACACACAGCTCACAAAGGAGACCACAAAATTGTGGATCCAGAAGCCTCCGTATGAGGCGGAAGATACCTGGGAGATGTGGATGGACAACTGTGCCATCCAGAAACACCTGCAGAGTCTAGAAAAACCAGCAGGTGATTTAGAAAGGAAGAGGCCACAGTGCTGGCGGGCAGTGGATCTGCAGACAAGGGTCTCGTCCCAAGAAGACCCGGTCCAGCCCAGCACAGCATAGGAGCTGGAGACAGCCAGGGCACTGCACCATGTGGACATGCGTAGTAGACCCCTCCAGAAAACGAGAAAATCGATAGAGTGGGGAGAAGCGCCCAAGGCATGCGGAAAGAAGAATACGTTAGCTGCAAGACCAGAGGCTGGTCATCCTGATACCAAAGCATCAGATATGCAGAAATTTAGGAAATTGCAGTCTTTCCCCCGTCTGCATTCTCTTTCCAGAAGAGTGGCTCCCCGCACAACCACATGCATGGAGACTGGCCCTCTGAGCAAGGGGGTCCCCCATTCAAGCCTTGGGGTTTCTAGAACACCAGATCATGGACATCAGCCCAGGGATCGTGCTGACTACCATGTTCTTTTACAGATGTGGAAACAGGCCTAGAGAGGGTCAGGGACTTGCCCGAGGTGACCCCGGCAGCCTCTGGGCATTTTGAGGTTTATCCTCACACAGCTCCCTCACCTCATCAGCTTGTGGGGAGCCGATCAGAGATAGCTGTGGTCCCCTGGGCTCTGGTAGCTGAGGTCCTGTTGGCCTCTCTTAGAATTTTGCTGTATTTGGGGAGTGTGGAGCGTGGATATAGATTTGTTAAAACTGTTGAAAGTGGAGAAGGAGGACCAGGCCTGGTGGTTCATGGCTGTAGTCCCAGCGCTTTGGGAGGCTGAGGCAGGAGGATGGCTTGAGCCTCGGAGGTCGAGGCTGCAGTGACTGCACCACTGCACTCCAGCCTGGGCGACAGAGTGAGACCCTGTCTTGAAATAAATAAATAAAAGGTGGGGCCGGGCACGGTGGCTCGTGCCTGTAATCCCAGAACTTTGGGAGGCTGAGGCGGGTAGATCACTTGAGATCAGGAGTTTGAGACTAGCCTGGCCAACATGGTAAACCCTGTCTCTACTAAAAATATGAAAATGGGGCAGGCGCAGTGGCTCACGCCTATAATCCCAGCACTTTGGGAGGCCGAGGCAGGTGGATCACGTGATGTCAGGAGTTCAAAACCAGCCTCATGGTGAAATCCCATCTCTACTAAAATACGAAAATTAGCCGGGCACAGTGGTACACGCCTGTAATCCCAGCTACTCGAGAGGCTGAGGCAGGAGAATCACTTGATCTTGGGAGGTAGAGGTTGTGATGAGCCAAGATTGCACCACTGCACTCCAGCCTAGGCGAAAAAAAAAAAACAAAGAAATTAGCCAGGCATGATGGTAGGCACCTGTAATCCAAACTACTCCAGAGGCTGAGGCAGGAGAATTGCTTGAACCCAGGAAGAGGTTGCAGTGAGCCGAGATCGTGCCACTGCACTCCAGCCTGGTGACACAGCAAGACTCCATCTCAAAAAAGAAAAAGGAGAAAAAGTCCCACTCCCATTGGAGTGAGTTCATTTCCCAGATGAGAGCCCCCAGGAGCCAGGGCAGGTTGGAGTCCCCACTGTCACCCAGCACAGGGGCTGGCACTCAGGAAACGTGTGACGAATGACACAGTGAGCCCCACTTGTCCACCTGTGCTTTACAAGCCCTCAGTAGGCACAGGGCACCATCTGGGACACAGATGGATCAACCTACAACACCCCTCAACACACACAAACCCTTGAGCTGCTCAGTCTTTCTAGGCAGCAGAGTGTAGTGGAGACAGGCTGCCTGGATTCGAATCCTAACTTTGCCACTTAGTAGCTGTGTGATTTTGGGTTTTATTTATTTATTTATTTCTGAAACAGTCTCGCTCTGTCACCCAGGCTGGAGTGCAGTGGCACAATCTCCACTCACTGCAACCTCTATCTCCTGGGTTCAAGCAGTTCTCCCTGCCTCAGCCTCCCAAGCAGCTGTGATTACAGGTGCCCACCACCACACGTGGCTAATTTTTTAATTGTTTTATTTTACTAAAAATAAAAAAGACAGGGTTTTGCCATGTTGGCCAGGCTGGTCACAAATTCCTGACCTCATGTGAGCCACCTGCCTCGGCCTCCCAAAGTGCTGGGATTGCAGGTGTGAGCCACCATGCCCGGCCTAGCTGTGTCACTAAGCTTGAATAAACTTCTTGAGCTCCGTTTTCTCATCTGTAAAATGGGGATACTCACGGTCCCTACACTTGAACATGTTAATGCACGTAGAGGGTGTAGAGCAGCGTCTGGTATACAGTAAGCCCTCAGTATAGACAGTAGTAGTAGGTGTCATTATTGCCAGGAGGAGACCATGATGAAGAACCACAAAGGACCACAGCACAGGATGGAAAATTAGAAAATGTGAATGGCGGCCCCAGGGAGGCTGCAGGGGAACCCAGGGCCTGGTGTTAGGGGTGGAGGTCAGGGAGTACTTCCCGGAGGAGGTGGCAATTGAGTCCCTTAACCATGGGGTGGTCAGGAGGCGAGGAAGGCCCTCTTCAAAGGGAGACTGTGGTTTGAGGCGGGGTGGGGGAGCAGAGAGTCACACTGTGTGTCTCCCTCAGCTTTGCTGTCTGCATGCCGACATGCTGGGCTCACTGGGCCCCAAGGAGGCCAAGAAGGCCTTCCTGGACTTCTATCACAGCTTCCTGGAGAAGACAGCGGTGAGAGATCTTCAAGCTGCCCCAACCCCGCAATCCCTGTTTGGGCCTGCAGAGTCACCATGAGGTCCCCAACCTCTGCCCTGAGGGCAGCTGCTGACCCAGGCTTTCCCCAGCACCCTCACTTACGTCAGGGTTCCTGGCAGTCCTCCCAGTCTGCGTCTCAGCACACCAAGTGCTCCTCTTCACCCCATTCTCTCTCTTGAGCAGGTTCTGCGGGTGCCGGTTCCTCCCAATGTCGCCTTTGAACTTGGTAAGGAGAAGGATGGGATGAGGGAGAGGTGTCTAGCAGGGACTACACCTCCCAGGAGGCCAAGGGGAGGGAGGCCGCACTCCCATGCTCTGCTCGTACAGCCGAGATTCATTCATTCCTTCCTGGCAGCGGCCTCAGGAAGAGTGGCTGTTGGAGTCCAAAGGTGGGTGGGGGCCGTGGTCCAAGCCACCAGGAAGTGGACCCTAGCCCCCCACGTGTGTCCCTGCAGACCGCACTCGGGCTGACCTGATCTCCGAGGATGTCCAGCGGCGGTTCGTGCAGGAGGTGGTGCAAAGCCAGCAGACAGCCGTGGGCCGGCAGCTGGAGGACTTCCGCTCCAAGCGGCTCATGGGCATGACGCCCTGGGAGCAGGAGCTGGCCCAGCTGGAGGCTTGGGTTGGGCGAGACCGAGCCAGCTACGAGGCCCGGGAGCGGCACGTGGCGGAGCGGCTGCTCATGCACCTGGAGGAGATGCAGTGAGTGGGCCAGCCCTGGTGGGAGCGTTGCCCCTCCCTAGCACCGGGGCACCCCTGCTACCTCTGGCATGTTCCATCCCATTTGCGGGTTCCCTCTTCAGCGTCAGGGTTCATTTCTTGGCACTGGGGCTCTTCCTCTGCCCTGGCGTTTTAACTCACCTTGGATCTGAGTCTTCCCTTTCCAACTTTGGGGTTCCCTTGTCATTTCTGGGTCTTGTCCATGATCTGGCCCTTGGATCCCGTCCTCCTGGATGAGAGACCTCCCTCCCTCTTGTGACGGTCCTTCCCGATCCCTTCCGCAGTGTCCCCTCTCTGTCTCTCTTCCCCCTGCCTATCCCAGGACAACAACCCTGAGATGTGTCCTGGCTGGGCAGGGACCCCAGACCTAGCAAATACGTCACAAACATCTCTCTTCCTCCTACAGACATACCATCTCTACCGATGAAGAAAAGAGGTGAGGGGGGCAGGGAGGGCGGCAGGGAGAGGTGTGCAGCCTCCTGGGTTTGAGGGAGGAGGGGGCTGAGGGTCTGGATTCCTGGGTCTAAGGGAGGAGAGGGCTGGGGACTTGGACTTCTGGGTCTGAGGGAGGAGGGGGCTGGGGGCCTGGACTCCTGGGTTGAGAGAGGAGGAGGAGGCTGGAGCCCTGGACTCCTGGGTCTGAGGGAGGAGGAGGCTGGGGGCCTGGACACCTGGGTCTGAGGGAGGAGGAGGCTGGAGCCCTGGACTCCTGGGTCTGAGGGAGGAGGAGGCTGGAGCCCTGGACTCCTGGATTGAGAGAGGAGGAGGCTGGGGACCTGGACACCTGGGTCCTGGGTATTGGGTAACAGCCCTTGCCCCTGTCCTTTTGAACCCTCTCATCTCTCCTGAGAGTCTCATGGGAAGTAGTTGTGGGGTCAGGATGGGAAGGCTGGGCCTCTGCCTCTAGTGGCTGTGTGTGTGTGTGTGTGTCTCTTTGTGTGTGTTGAGCCCTCACTGTCTCCTCCCTACAGTGCTGCCGTGGTCAACGCCATTGGCGTGTACATGCGCCACCTTGGGGTGCGGACCAAGAGTGGGGACAAGAAGTCAGGGAGGAACTTCTTCCGGAAAAAGGTGCTTCCCTCAGTGCCCTGTCCTGACCCTTTCCTCTCCAGAGACACCCTGGGAGCCCCATGACTCTGGACACCTGGCGTCAAATTCTGCTTGGTTGTCTCAGAGATGCTCAGCCTGGTCTTCCTCCCCGCCTCTTGCAGGTGATGGGGAACCGGCGGTCGGACGAGCCTGCTAAGACCAAGAAGGGGCTGAGCAGCATCCTGGATGCCGCCCGCTGGAACCGGGGAGAGCCCCAGGGTAAAGCAGCTCTGGCCTCTGCCCTCCCCTGTCTTCCCCAGCTCTTCCCACTCACTGTCTCACTCTCTCTCATTTCAGTTCCAGATTTTCGACACCTCAAAGCAGAGGTTGATGGTAATGGACCTGTAGCCAGAGCATCCATCCCTGGGGCCTGTGGGGGAGGGGGCTGGGGCCTGGACTCCTGGGTCTGAGGGAGGAGAGGCTGGGGACCTGGATTCCTGGGTCTGAGGGAGGAGGAGCTGGGCCTGGACCCCTGGATCTGAGGGAGGAGGGGCTGGGGGAGTTCCTGGGTCTGAGGGAGGAAAGGCTGGGCCTGAACCCCTGGGTCTGAGGGAAGAGGGACTGGGCCTGCACTTGGCTGGGGAAGTTCCTGGGTCTGAGGAAAGAGGGGCTGGGGGCTCAGACTCCTGGTTCTGAGGGAGGAAGGGCTGGGGGCCCGGACCCCTGAGTCTGAGGGAAGAGGGGCTGGGGGAGCTCCTGGGTCTGAGGGAGGGAGGCCTGGGGCCTGGACCCCTGGGTCTGAGGGAGGAGGATTGGGCCTGGACCCCTGGGTCTGAGGGAGGAGGGGCTGGGGGCTGGGACTCTTGGGTCTGAGGGAGGAAGGGCTGGGCCTAGACCCCTGGGTGTGAGGAGGAGGGGCTGGGCCTGAATCCCTGGGTCTGAGGGAGGAGGGGCTGGGAGAGTTCCTGGGTCTGAGGGAGAAAGGCCTGGGGCCTGGACCTCTGGGTCTGAGGGAGGAGGGGCTGGGGGCCTGGACTCCTGGGTCTGAGGGCAGAGGGTATGGGGGACTCCTGGGTCTGAGGGAGGAGGGGATGGGGGCTCCTGGGTCTGAGGCAGGAGGGCCTCCTAGTCATGGTGGGGAAGGGCCTGAGCACAGCCTCTTGCATCCCCTGGTTGTTGTAGATTTGAGTTACTGTTCTCTCATCTCCCTCTTTCTCCCTCACCGTCTCCCCAGCTGAGAAGCCAGGTGCTACAGACCGGAAGGGAGGCCTGGGGATTCCCTCTCGGGACCGGAATGTTGGGGCTCCTGGGCAGGACACCCCTGGAGTCTCTCTGCACCCTCTGTCCCTGGACAGCCCAGACCGGGAACCAGGTGAGAGTTTCCTGGGCCAGGGCTCTGTGAGGCCCGGGGATCCAGGGTGGGGGTGCTGCCTGCCCCCTTGGCACCCCCAGATGGAAGCTACTCCTCAGCAACACCTCCCCTTTGCTCTTAGCATCCGCTCCTCCCTGCTCCTGGTCACCACTGTCATGCGTAACTTTCCCCTTCCCTCAGTTTGCCCTTTCCACGACTTTCCTCCCAGGCTCTGACCTCTCTGCTGGTGCCATGTCTCCCACCCCCCTGGACTACGTTTTCCATCAGCCCTTCATTTTCCAGAACCTTCCCTGAGTACATGACCAATCCCCCCTCTGACCTGCATTGCTGGCCCCCTAGGTGGGGAGCCCGCCAGCCCTATGAGCTTCATCCCTCACCGTCCTTACACCTCTGTGGCCTCAGGCCCTTGGATCTCTGCATGGCCAGGCCCAGGCTCACACACCGGCTCTGCTGACTCCTCGTGTTTATTTAGTGTTTTGGATAAGACTCCCGTTTATTAGCCTCCGTTTCCTTGTCTCTAAAGGAGTATGAGAGGGTGGGGAGGATGAATGGATGTGGAGGCAGCACAGAATTCAGACCCTCCTGACCTCAGGAGGCTGCAGTCTGGTTGGGTGGGAGAGATGTTTGTGACTTATTTGCTAGGCCTGGGGTCGCCATCCCCCCAGGACACAGAAGGGCACCCACTTCTGTTGCATCTTCACACCCCTGACCCTAGTGGCCCACGGTCATGTTCTCAGAGGTCTTAACATCTTTCTGTCCCGTGCTGAAGTACATTGCAGCCTCGTGGTGTCTGCCAGGCACTGGGTAGCTTTAGCCCCCACATTTCCAGCCCCCAGAGTGTGGGTCTTGTGGCCTCAGAGGCCCTCCAGCCAGCCCTGCTCCCTCCACCCCACAGGTGCTGACGCCCCCCTGGAGCTGGGGGACTTATCCCCGCAGGGCCCAATGAGCCTGGAGCCCCCGGCGCCCCCAGAGAGTACCGATGAGGGGGCCGAAACCGAGAGGTGCCCAGGCTGGGGTGCAGGGGTGGGGGCCGTGGCTTACTGGGCACTGGTGGGTGGGTGCAGGGTCGCCACTGCCATCTGCGCCTGCCTGTCCCAGCCTCTCGCTCCGCCTGCTCCTCTGCTGCTCTCTGGGTCTCGCCATTCCTCTCCCTTCTTCTTTCCTTTTCTCATCTCCCTCCTGCTTCCTCATTGCCCCCCTTTCCTTTATCCTTACTTTTTCCTGTCCTCCTTCCTCTCCTTCCTTTTTTCACTGATCTTTCTCCTCCTCCCTTCCTCTCCACCTCTCCTTCCATCTCCTTTATTTCCCCCCTCCTTTCTCACCTGGATTTTCTTTCCCCACTTTCCATCCCCCTCCGATCTCCCTGCCACTTTCCATTTTTTCAGCCCTTCCTCCCCTTCTCTTTCAAGCCCCCCCACCCCACCCCGCCTCGCTCCTGCCTCCTGGTACCCGTCCCTCAACCCCCCACCCCTCTGCTCTGTGCCCCGGGGGCCCTGTCCCCCTTACAGCTGGGGGGCAGGCTCTGCCCCCTGCCCGTCCTTGTGCCGCTGCTTTGGGGACCCCTTGGTGGGTGTGGGGAGGTGGGTCGGGTGCCATTTGGGCCCACCTCTGACCCTGTGCCCCTCTCTCCCCAGAAGGTGGAAGAGGTGGGTGCCTGGGCCCTGGGTGGGGGAAGGGCTAGCCCCTCCCCCATTTCTCCCAGCCCCTCCCCTCTCCCCATGGCCACTCCCTCCCCTTCACTCCCTGTGAGGGGTGGGTGGGGACATCACCCTCCCAGTTGAAGAGCTAAGTATGGAAATCCTCCCCACCCCATAAACACCCCTCTGTTGCCATCCCCCTACCTCAGGGAAGGGAGGGGGTCAGTCCTACGCTCCATCCTGGGTTCCCCATCCCTTCCCCCATCAAATTTCAGTATCCCCCCACCGACACCCCCCACTACCCCAGCGCCCCTAAAATCCCACCACTCCTCTGACTCTCTCCTCTCTCTTCTGTTGCATGTTTGATCCCTGTCCTGGTCACCCCTGCTCCCGTCCTGGTCTCTCCCCGTCTCTGTCTCTCTCCTGGTCTCTCCCCGTCTCTGTCCCTGTCCTGGTCTCTCCTTGTCTCTCCCTGTCCTGGTCTCTCCCTGTCTCTGTCCCTGTCTTCTTCTCTCCTCAATCTCTGTCCCTGTCCTGGCCTCTCCCCATCTCTGTCCCTACCCTGGTCTCTCCCCGTCTCTGTCCCTGTCCTGGTTTCTCTTCGTCTCTGTCCTTGTCTTGGTCTCTCCTTGTCTCTGTACCCGGCCTCTGCCTGACTCTGTCCTTGGCCTCGGGGTCCAGGCTATCAGGGCGTCTGGGGCGCTCAGAGAGCCTGCGGGTGAGTGACCGCCGCCGGCCTTCCCGGGGCAGCCTCGGGGCTAAGGGCCGGGGTGGGGGCCGCTCCAGGAGCGACGTGGACATGGACCCCAGTTCCGCCACGGCAGTGCTTGGCCCTGCCCGACGAGCCACGTATGTCAACCCTCTCCCTTCCCCCATCCACTGAGGCAGCCTGGAGAACCAGGGAGGGATTGTTATCAGAGTCACAGGAATGGGCGTTGGAGGCTGAGGTCATTGAGGCCAACTGTGGTCACAGACCTTGGAGGAGGAGGGGTAGAATGCTTCTAGAGATCTGGGGACTCTAGTGTAGTCAGATCTAGAGATCCTGGTCTGCTGCACGGGCCACCCTGGGGGCATCGAATGCCAAGGCCACTGACCGGGGTTGAATGCTCTAAGAGGCTGAAGGCTGCTTCCTGGGATGGCCCAAGCTGGGGCCCTAACAAGGCCTCCGTCCACAGCCCTGAGCCTGGAGATGAGGGGGAGCCGGGGCGGTCAGGACTGGAGCTTGAACCAGAAGAGCCTCCCGGCTGGCGGGAACTTGTCCCACCAGACACCCTGCAGAGCCTGCCCAAGAGCCAGGTGAAGCGGCAGGAGGTCATCAGCGGTGAGTACCGCCCCCGTCTGCCCCACTGTGACCAAGGACACAGTCCAGCTCTGGCAAAGACAGGTGCAGAGACATGTTCATCTTGGTGTTATTTATCATAGGCAGAACTTGAAGGCAGCTTCAAATTCCCTCTTGTTCCAAGTTCAGATTGTTCCAACAGAGACCACTCCGATGGAATGTGAATGCCACTGTGGAAGGGACGTTTCCAAAAATTTTGAGTAGTGCAAGACAGTGCTGATGTTAAGAACACTGCATTTCTGGTGCAAGCCTTTATTTCCTTACTTGCGAAATGTGGGTACTAATAGTTCCTACCTCAGATATTGTCATGAAGATGAGACGATTTGTGTGAAATGTTTAGCATAGTGCTGGGCACAGAGGAAGAGCTTTTTTTTTTTTTTTTTTTTTGTCATTTTTATTTGGGCAGGGTCTTAGTTGGTCTCTAGGCTGGAGTGCAGTGGTGCAGTCACGGCTCACTACAGCCTTACCCTCCCAGGCTCAACTGATTCTCCCACCGCAGCCTCCCAAGCAGCTGAGACCACAGGCATGTACCACCGTGCCTGGCTAATTTTTGTATTCTTTGTATTCTAATTTTGTATTCTTTGTAGAGATGGGGGTTTCACCATGTTGGCCAGGCTGGTCTCGAACTCTTGGGCTCAAGTGATCCTCCTACCTCAGCCTCCCAAAGGCTTGGGATTACAAGTGTGAGCCAGCAGGCCCAGTCAAGGAAGAGCATTTTAATGAGATTGTTGTTACTAGTTTGATCTTAATTGCTTAGGGGAGAAAAGATCCCCACAGGGGAAAGTTTGGGAGAATGATCAGTATATTCACAGTGCTTGCTTCTGCATGGAGACATGATGAGTGTATCATTTTTGTCTTTTTCCTTTTTTCCTGTGCTAATTGTGTGGTGGCTGGGGAGGCTGGTGGCAAAAAGAGAAAGCTTTTTTTTTTTTTTTTTTTTTTTTTTTGAGACAGAGTTTTGCTCTTGTTGCCCAGGCTGGAGTGCAATGGCATAATCTCGGCTCACCGCAACCTCCACCTCCCAGGTTCAAGTGATTCTCCTGCCTCAGCCTCCTGAGCAGCTGGGATTACAGGCATGCGCCACCATGCCCGGCTAATTTTGTATTTTTAGTAGAGACGGGGTTTCTCCATGTTGGTCAGGCTGGTCTCGAACCCCCGACCTCAGGTGATCTGCCCGCCTCAGCCTCCCAAAGTGCTGGGATTACAGGCGTGAGCCACTGTGCCCGGCCCAAGAGAAAGCTTTTGGACTTGATTGAAAGCTTATTTACAGATTACTTCATAGTAAAAAAGGTACTTACTCAAAAATTTTAGGGGAGTAGTTGAGTACTTTTTGAGTCACAGATCCTTCTAAGGACATGATAAAAATTAAAAAAAAAAAAAAAAAAAAAAACATGAGCCATGTGCTATCCATTAGGACTTTCTGGAAGATGGAAATGTGCTGTATTTGTGTTGCTCACCATGGGGACCACTGGTCACCTGTGGCTGGTGAGCACTCGAAATGCACTAGGCTGGGCACAGTGGCTCATGCCTGTAATCCCAGCACTTTGGGAAGTCGAGGTGGGCAAATCACTTGAGGTCAGGAGTTCAAGACCAGCCTGGCCAACATGGTGAAACCCCATGTCTACTAAACATACAAAAATTAGTCAAGCGGACCGGGCGCGGTGGCTCAAGCCTGTAATCCCAGCACATTGGGAGGCCGAGACGGGTGGATCACGAGGTCAGGAGATCGAGACCATCCTGGCTAACAGGGGGAAACCTCGTCTCTACTAAAAAAATACAAAAAACTAGCCGGGCGAGGTGGCGGGCGCTTGTAGTCCCAGCTACTCGGGAGGCTGAGGCAGGAGAATGGCGTGAACCTGGGAGGCGGAGCTTGCAGTGAGCTGAGATCCGGCCACTGCACTCCAGCCTGGGCGACAGAGCCAGACTCCGTCTCAAAAAAAAAAAAAAAAAAATTAGTCAAGCGTAGTGGCACATGCCTCTAATCCCAGATACTCGGGAGGGTAAGGCAGGAGAATTGCTTGAACCCAGGAAGCAGGAGGCAGAGGTTTCAGTGAGCCCAGATCACTCCACCACACTCCAATCTGGGTGACAGAGCAAGACTCTGTCTCAAAAAAAAAAAAAAAGAAAAAAAAAAAAGCACTAAATACAACTGAGCACTGACTTTTAAAATTTCGTTTCAATTAACGAAAATGTAAAGAGTTGGACGTGGCTGGTGACTATCATGTTGGACAGGATAGCAGTTTCTCTCCCCAGAAAGAATATGCGTAACATACAAAATTGTGCACTTAGACTCAGGGGATTTCTAGGACCCCTGAAACTCACACATATGCCCTCTGCGGGGGTCCCTGGATCTGAGGCTGTCAACCACTGTATAATGTGGCTTGATGGTTAGACACTAAACACAGCTGCAAGCTTGCCGGTGGGCGGGATGACCAGCTTGTCCCCATTTGCTAAGGATATTCCCAGTTTTATTACTGAAAGCCCGTGCAGGCAAACGGGGACCATTGGTCGTTCTGGCTGGCTGGCACAGCAAAAGGGGAAAGGCAAGGCGGTGGGTTGAGGACTCCTCAATGGCCTTTTTTTTTTTTTGAGACGGAGTCTCGCCCTGTCGCCAGGTTGGAGTGCAGTGGCGCGATCTCGGCACACTGCAACCTCTGCCTCCCAGGTTCAAGGGATTGTCCTGCCTCAGCCTCCCGAGTAGCTGGGACTACAGGCGCCTGCCACCACGCCCGGCTAATTTTTGCATTTTTAGTAGAGATGGGGTTTCACCGTGTTGGCCAGGATGGTCTCAATCTCTTGACCTCGTGATCTGACCACCTCGGCCTCCCAAAGTGCTAGAATTACAGGCATGAGCCACCGCGCCTGGCCCCTCAATGGCTTTTAAGAGGGCAAATGACTCCACCAAGAGAAGTTTTTTTTATTTGTTTGTTTTCTTTTGTTTTTTTGAGATGGAGTCTCGCTCTGTCACCAGGCTGGAGTGCAGTGGCATGATCTTGGCTCACTGCAACCTCCACCTCCCGGGTTCAAGTGATTCTCCTGCCTCAGCCTCCCAAGTCGCTGGGACTACGGGAGCCTGCCCCCACACCCGGCTAATTTTTGTGTTTTTTTAGTAGAGATGGGGTTTCACCATATTGGCCAGGCTGCTCTCGAACTCCTGACCTTGTGATCCACCCTCCTCGGCCTCCCAAAATGCTGGGATTATAGGTGTGAGCCACTGTGCCCAGCCGTTTTGTTTTGAGACAGGGTCTCGCTCTGTTGCCCAGGCTGGAGTGCAGTAATGCCCTTATAGCTCACTGCAGCCTCAACCTCCTGGGCTCAAGGGATCTTCCTATTTGAGCCTCCGAAGTAGCTGGGACCACAGGCACACACCACCACACTCAGGCTTTTTTTTTTTTTTTTTTTTTAATTTTTGGTAGAAACAGGGTTTCACCATGTTGCCCAGGCTGATCTTGGACTCCTGGGTTCAAGCAGTCCTCCTGCCTTGGCCTCCCAAAGTGCTGGCATTACAAGTGTGAACCACCGTGGCTAGCCAGAGAGAGTTTTTTCCCACCAACCTAGGAAGCGTTCCTCCCTGCTCTGCCTCATTCCTCTAGCCTGCCCCTGAGGTCATGCCCCGTAGTCTGCACCCTCCCCAACGTGCTTCCTGCTTTGGTGGCCCTGCAGAGCTGCTGGTGACAGAAGCGGCCCACGTGCGCATGCTGCGGGTGCTGCACGACCTCTTCTTCCAGCCCATGGCGGACGGCCTCTTCTTCTCCCTGGAGGAGCTGCAGAACATCTTCCCCAGCCTGGACGAGCTCATCGAGGTGCATTGTGAGTGCAGGGCCAGGGTCCCTCTGTGTACCCCACTGCCCCACGGGCAGCTCTGTTCTAGCCCTGGGTTCAACCTGCTCGGGAACCCCAGGGTTCACATAGGGTGGGGGCAGATACGCCATCCGGCCCTGAAGAGCAGACACAGATACACCTGCAGCCCTATTCCCACCATGCCGCAGCAGGCCCCGCACGGCATATTCCAGGCCCTGATGGAGGATCCCTTTCCTCCTGCCCCCACAGCCCTGTTCCTCGATCGCCTGATGAAGCGGAGGCAGGAGAGTGGCTACCTCATCGAGGAGATCGGAGACGTGCTGCTGGCCCGGGTGAGATGCCCAGCCCTCCCCCTCCTCCCAGCCAGACACTTGGAATCCAGGCCCGGAGCGGGTCCTGAGCCCACCCTAATCCAGTCCCAGGGTCTGGGCTTCCAGCGTGTCGTACTTTAGGCCTGTTCTTGCCCATCCCCACTGAGACACCTGCCTGGCCTGAATCTCACTGTAGTTTGATGGTGCTGAGGGCTCCTGGTTCCAGAAAATCTCCTCCCGCTTCTGCAGCCGCCAGTCGTTTGCCTTAGAGCAGCTCAAAGCCAAGCAACGCAAGGAGCCTCGGTTCTGTGCCTTCGTGCAGGTGAGGCGGGGTCTGGACTCCAGCTTCCCGGGGAGGAGGGGCCTGGAAACCCAGACTCCTAGGTGCCTGCGCCCTGGGGTGAGCCCGAAGCCTGGGCCATCACAGCGCCAGCACCAGTTTCCTGCAGGAAGCTGAGAGCCGCCCACGGTGCCGCCGTCTGCAGCTGAAGGACATGATTCCCACGGAGATGCAGCGGCTGACCAAGTACCCCCTGCTCCTGCAGAGCATCGGGCAGAACACAGGTACCACAGGCCCACCTCTCTGGGCCTCAGCTCTCCTCTTTTTTTCTTTTTAATTTTTTTTCTCACTCATTTTCATCAGTGATACCATCACGGCTCACTGCAGCCTCGACCTCCCAGGCTCTAGCCATCCTCCCACCTCAGCTTCCCGAGTAACTGGGACCCCAGGGGCACACCACCGTGCCTGGCTAATTTTTTTTATTTTTTTGTAGTGACAGGGTCTCGCCATGTTGCCCAGGCTGGCTTTGAACTCCTGGTCTCAAGCGATCCTCCTGCCTCAGCCTCCCAAAGTGCTTGGATTACAGGCATGAGCCACCATGCCCAGCCAGCTGTCCTTTGTCTAACTTTGGCTGCTGAATCTGGAGCCTCCAGGACAGGGGTTCACCAGAGCTGCTCTCTCCCTTGCCTGCAGAAGAGCCCACGGAACGGGAGAAAGTAGAGCTGGCAGCCGAGTGCTGCCGGGAAATTCTGCACCACGTCAACCAAGCCGTGCGTGACATGGAGGACCTGCTGGTGAGCCTGGGCTGACCCCACACCTGGGACAGTGGGTGGTATGAGAGCAGGGGGTGGACCCTACCTCAGCCTGTCCAGAAGGCACACCCTACCCCTTGGCTTGTCTCCCTCGAGGGTCACTGTTGTCTGGGGGTTGGCTTGGCCCTCAGCGCCTCCCTCTGAGGGTCATTGGAGGTCAGGTCCGACCCTCAGCTTGCTCCCATCAGAAGTTGGTCTTGGCTCTCGCCTTACCAATGTGGGTCACTGCGAGTCAGCCCCAGCACTTAGCTTGTCCCCATAACGCTCCCGTCTCTGCCCCAGAGGCTCAAGGACTATCAGCGGCGCCTGGACTTGTCCCACCTTCGGCAGAGCAGCGACCCCATGCTAAGCGAGTTCAAGGTGTGACCTTACCCTCCTGCCTCCCCTGCCCCGCTACTCTACTTGGCCCAGGGGATTCTGTGATACAGTCCCCAGCCTGTCCTCCCAATCCCATACTATACCCAGGGATCGAGAGCTTTGGCCCCCACCTCATGCCAATCCCATGATCCCCAGCCTATGGTCATCCCTGGTCACTGCCCTGCCCTTCCCTTCCCTTCCCCACCAACCCCAATCACCCCCCGCCAACCTGCACGAACCATCACCCCCTCCTGCCTCAGAACCTGGACATCACCAAGAAGAAATTAGTCCACGAGGGCCCACTGACGTGGCGGGTGACAAAGGACAAGGCTGTGGGTGAGTGCCAGGGAAGCCACCTAGTGCAGGGTGTGGGGGCAGTGAGCCAAGGGCAGGGAGGGGGTTGCATGAGGGCACTGTGTGAGCACTGCTCGCCCCGTAGAGGTGCATGTGCTGCTGCTGGATGACCTGCTGCTGCTGCTCCAGCGCCAGGATGAGCGGCTGCTGCTCAAGTCCCATAGCCGGACGCTGACGCCCACGCCCGACGGCAAGACCATGCTGCGGCCTGTGCTGCGGCTCACCTCTGCCATGACCCGCGAGGTGGCCACCGGTGAGCGCAGCCACTGTATGGCCCAGGGCAAAGGGTGTCTCTTTTGGGCAGAGCTGCCTGTGGAGTGGGGAGCAGAACCCTCTACAGAGCCAGGGAGTCAGCATTCTGGCAAAGAAGTTGGGAAGTGGGTGGAGGTGGGCAGGGCAGGGCTAGGCCTAGTAGGTTTTATAAGTGAGGTAGGAACTGCTGCAGGTGTTTGCACAGAGGCGTGTCTTGTATAAATGAGAAGAAAGGCCAGGAGCCCAGTGAGGAGGGATTTGTAAACACACAGTTGGGAAGTTGCACCAGGGCCACAAACACTGGGAGCAGCTGGAGGGTGGGAGTGGCTGGCAGGGTTTTGTTAGGTAGGCCAGGGGACTTGCCTGGTTCCCTAAGGAGGTGTGAGGGGGGAGCTCAGGAGGACACATCAGGTCCTGGATATTAGTGGACAGTGAGTGGTGAGTTGAGTAATGGGAGCCCTGAGAGCAGCGCTACTGTGAGTGACTTCCCCAGCTTGTGCTCAGGAAGGGGCACGCACTGGGGGGACCTGGGCTCTGAGTCCCATCTCCCCCTCTCCCTGCAGATCACAAAGCCTTCTACGTCCTTTTTACCTGGGACCAGGAGGCCCAGATATACGAGCTGGTGGCACAGACTGTGTCGGAGCGGAAGAAGTGAGGGGGGGTCTGAGTTCTGAGTGTGGGTTGAGGAGGCCCAAGCCTCTGGGTTCCCGGGTACAGAAGGGCTGTGGGGAGGCCCCGGCATAGGGTCTGGGGGCTCTGACTGCCCAGGGGTTTGGCCTTTCTCCCCAGCTGGTGTGCCCTCATCACCGAGACTGCCGGATCCCTGAAAGTCCCTGCCCCTGCCTCTCGCCCTAAGCCCCGGCCCAGCCCGAGCAGGTGAGGGGGGCCATGGAGAGAGCTGGAGGTTCAGGGAGGGGGGCCGGAAGGCAGGGCTGGCTTCCCTCCACAGCTCCAGAATGCAAACCCCAGTCCTGTCGAGTGTGCGTGTGTGTGAGCGTGCGCATGTGTGAATGCATGCGTGTACATACATGTGTGCCTGTACGCAAGCATGTGACTGTGTGTGCATGTGTAGTATATGCATGCATATGTGTGTGTACGTGTGTGCATGTATGGTGTGTGTGCGTGAGAGCATGTGCATGCATGTGTGTGCATGTGTGTGTGCCGACCCCACCACTGCCCCGTCTGTCTCCTGTCTCCAGGCCTCTGTGTCTTCCATTGTCTGGGCCTCTCTGTCTCCCTGTCTCCCGGCCTCGACCTCTGTCTCTCTCTCCGGACCTCCCTGCCTCCCCACCTCCAGCTCTCTGTCTCCCTGCCCCTGTGGCCCCCCAGGGCCAGGAGTGTGGGGTCACCCAGCACTTCCTCCCCTCAGCACCCGAGAACCCCTCCTCAGCAGCTCTGAGAACGGCAATGGTGGCCGAGAGACGTCTCCGGCTGATGGTGAGACCAGAGGGATGCTGGGTGAGGGGCCAGGTTGGGGCTCACGGGTGAAGAGGGGCATCCATAGGAGGCCCGGCAGGATCTGAGCGCCCTCCCTGTTCCCCCACCCAGCCCGGACCGAGAGAATCCTCAGTGACCTCCTGCCCTTCTGCAGACCAGGCCCCGAGGGCCAGCTCGCTGCCACGGCCCTTCGGAAAGGTAGCCCAGCCCTGCCCCTCCAGGGTGGCCACCGGCCCAAACAGTGCCTCTGTTCCAACTAGAACAAGGCTCTCCCTGTCAAAAATTTCCTTACGCCCAGCTGCCAGAAAACAAATGCTCCAAACCCACCCGGCCTGCACCACTGTCCTGGGTGCCCACGTCCTTCTTCTGCAGCCGCCATCCCTTCCTTGACTCTATATTCACCCTCTGCCTGACCATATCTCTGTCTTCAGTACCTTCCTGCCCTGTCCCAACCCTAAACCCAGCCTCACTTCACCTCCCTTTGGATCCCCCAACCCCATCCACTCAGCCTTGCCTGGCACCCACCCTCACCTCCAGCCCCTACACATGCCGTTTGGAATCCCCCATCCCAGATCCCATCCTGGCCCCCTGGTCTCCTGACTCCGCCCCCCTTGCCCCTGGCCAGTGCTGTCCCTGAAGCAGCTTCTGTTTCCTGCGGAGGAAGACAATGGGGCGGGGCCTCCTCGAGATGGGGATGGGGTCCCAGGGGGCGGCCCCCTGAGCCCAGCACGGACCCAGGAAATCCAGGAGAACCTGCTCAGCTTGGAGGAGACCATGAAGCAGCTGGAGGTAGGGCGGGGTGGACCAGGGGTGCCCTGAATGGGTCGGGGAAGGAGGGGGCCCCCCTCATCCATGACCCCCATGCCACCAGGAGTTGGAGGAGGAATTTTGCCGCCTGCGACCCCTCCTGTCTCAGCTTGGGGGGAACTCTGTCCCCCAGCCTGGCTGCACTTGAGGTCCTTGCCCAGGAAGGTGAGTGGGGGATCTGGGGGCCAGGGCACTGTCCTGAAAGGAGGGTCCCCCTCCAGAGCTCGCATCCCTGCAGCCCCTTCTGTCCATCTCCCTCTTTGTCTTTTCTGAATCTCCCCACTCCACCTCGTGTTTCTCATCTCTGTGTCTCTGTTTCTGATAATCTCTGTTTCCGTCTCTGTGCCTGCCTGCCTCTCCCCACCTCCCCTTCTCTCTCCGCTCTCCCTGTCTTGTCTCTGTCTGTCTCTCCCTGTCTCTCTCTCCATCTCTCCCAATCTCCCCTCTTCTCCTACATCCCCCAGGCCTTTTGCAAGAAGGAGAGGAATGGGGGAGAGGACATGAGGGACCACCCCCACCCACACAGCTGCCGCAGCATCTCACACCCTGAGGGCCTGAGGAGAGGGAGCTGTGGGCCACGCCTGGGAGGGGCCCAGCTGGGGTCACTGGCCCTGCATGAGCCTCGGCCATCTCTCCCTCCTGCCCTCTGCTTGGGGGACTCAGGGCTTCATTCCGGAGGGCACCACGGTGACCCGGGCCATCTCAGTATTGCCTGTGGGGGCCACCCCTCCACTCCCCACCCCCAAGTGCCTTCGCTCTGTTTTTATACCCTGAATTGGAGGTTTATTTTTTAATATATATTATCTAAGAAGAGATCTGTGTGTGTGAGGGTGTGGTGAGGCCTGGCGTGGCATCTGGAACTCTCTCTGTCTGGCGTCGACTTCCTGGGTCTGTGCCTCTGCGCCTGCCTCTAGTTGTTCATTCATTCATTCATTTCTTTGTTTGAACCGTTACTCCCCAGGCACTCCGCACACACACTGGGTATGAGGCATCCCCCTGACACTGCCCTCCAGCTCCCACCCCCAATCCCCCATGCTCAGCACCCGGCACCCCGAGTCTCACTCTCTGTTCTTTTATTTCTGTAGTAAACTCTCTGGAGGTGACTGTCGGGATCATGGGGAGCTGGTGGGAAGGGGGCCCCTCCTGGGTGGGGGCTGGGGGCGGGGTTATTGCTCTGAGCTCCCTGTCCCCAGGGGGGCCTATGTGGGGGGTGTCAGGACTGGGGCCAGCACAGGGGGGTTGGAGACACGGCCACACAAACACTTGGGGCACAGCACAGGGGTGGGCGGGTGGGGAAGGCTGGGCGCCATATTGCACTTTGGGAGTGGGGCCAGGCGGGGACCCCCCTCAAACTGGAGCCTGGGGAGGAGGCTGGAGGCCATCACATTCCCTCTGTCCTCTGTGGAGGGGGAAGTGAGACCCCACCTCTGGGGCTGGGGAAGGAGACTGGGGCAGCAACATGCCCAGACCCGGGAGGTGCTGAGGGCTGGTCCTGGGCCTTGGGCCAGGCATCAAGGGCAGAGGGGCGGCTGCCCTGGTCCCTGCCTCAGCGGAATCCATTGCCCCCTGCCGACTCAGCTGCCAGTCCCCCCTTTGCCTGCCTTTGCCTTGGGGGGCACCAGGAGACCCTCATCGCCCTCGCTGTCAGAGCTGCAGCCGCTGACGTCGGTGATCTCCAGCTCCGAGTCGCTGTCCTCCTTCCCACCAAGGGCAGCCTCTGGACCCCCAGCCCCTGGCAGTGCCAGGCGAGGGGCCGCTGCCAGGCCCGAGGGGCGCTCGGGGCCCAGGCCCTCCCCTGTCGAGGCCAGCAGGGGCACGGCTGTGGGGCCTCCCCCTGCCCCTGCCGAGGGCAGGTGGCTCAGGGAACTGGCCAGAGGGTTGGGGTAGAAGTGCGGGGGATAGAGAGAGGGAGGCAGCTTGGGGAAGGGGCCCGTGAGGTACGGGTTAAAGTTCCAGGGGTACTCAGGGAAGGCGCGGCCATAAGGACCCAGCAGGCCGGGGGGCTTGGAATAGCTGGTGGCACCTGGGGGGCACAGGGGTAGGTCAGGCTGGGGTGCCTGCCTACCTGGGGACCAGCAAAGGGGGCTGCCTCCCTGCCATATCCCACCCCATCTCCCTGCGTCCCTCCTACATGGCATCTCACCCCCTCACACAGCTTCCCCCAACTCCACCTCCTCCCACTCCCCCACTTGTCTTCCCATTCCTTAAGCACCCCTGAAAGCCCTTGTCCCCCTCTCATTTCCCCTCCCTCACCTCACATCCTTTTCTGGGTTTTACACACGCGCGCACACACACGCATGCACACACACACACACATCCTACAGCCTGGCTCTGGGCCCCCTTCCCCATCCTTTCTCTTGTCTTTTCTCATCCTCTTCCCTCAAACCTGCAGCTTCTCCCACCATGCCCCCAGCACCCCACAACCTCCAGGCTCTTACCAGAGCCCAGGAACGGGAAAGGGCTGTCCAGACGCAGTTTATCTGTCTCAGAGGTGAACAGGGGTGTCCGGGTCCCTGGCTCTCCCAGGCGTGGAGCAGAGAACAGGGTTTGCAGGGTCTAGAGAGGGAGTGGGGGAAGCCGCCCTGCTCAGACTGTCCCCTCCCCAGAGTGGGCACCAAGTGCCTCGGTTCCAGGACCCCAATACCCAGACTCACCTCAGGGGTGAGGGGAGGAGCATCTGGCCCTGGGGCCCCCCCAAAGGGACTGGGGGTCAGCAAGAGTGGGGAGCCGGTGGCAGCTGCCGCCATGTCCAGCAGCGGGTAATTGACAAGCACAACTTTGCTGAAGTTGAACTTGTAGGTGAACCTCTTCCCTTTGGTCTTGTGGAGAATCCGCTTGTTGTAGTAGTAACTGTGGGGAGAGCGGTGGTGCTGGGGAGGTGCAGGGGGAGCCTTGGGGCGGGATCTGGGGTTTCCTAATGCGTGTGCTGTCCCAGGCACGATGCACAGAGCACTAGAACTTGGGGAAACTGAGGCTCACAGAAGTCCCTTAACAGGGATCACAAGGCAAGGAAGGGTTGAGGCAGGAGCGGGGACCCTGCCCTGCGAGACTCCAAAGCCCAGGTTTAGGGGTCCTTCCTCCTTGCCTCCCTTCCACTCACAAGTAGCTATGGTGGCTACTCACACACAGCCCTGTGCCTTGTGGGATCCAGCAGGAACCTGCCCCAGGATGCAGAGGGGTCACCAGAGGGACAGCGGGGGGGAAAAGGACAAGTTGGGATCCAGCCCCCAGCCCTTCCTCACCGCAGGGCCCGGCTCAGCTTGTCGTAATTCATGTGGGGCTTGCATTTGCGAATGCCCCACAGCCGGGCCACCTCGTCAGGGTCTTTGATGACAAATTCCCCGTAGTCCCCCTGCCAGGCGATGACGCCCTGGTACTCCTCCTTCTGCAGCAGCTCCAGGATAAAGTGCCACAGCTGGATCTGCCTCGAGCCAGGGGATGACTCTGGCTTGTAGGCCCAATCCGGGAAGGCAAACCCTGGGGACGGGAGAGAGGGAGTGGCCTGGAGTCAGGATGCCAAGTCCAGGGCTCTGGGTCCTGCTGGACTCAGTAACCTGAGAGGCATCTAGTTCTCCTCCAGCCTCAGGCATCTTCAGGGACCTGGTTTCCACTCTCCAAACCTCCTCCCCTGGTGTCTGGTCCCCAAATTATCCAAATATGGGCAAGAACCCAGTCATCCAGGGACGCTGTGTTGGTACCAGTCTGATCCCCTACCTTAGCATAGCTCCCCCAGGCTCAGCATCCGGAGATGGAGGTAGGAGGGATTGGCTTCCTGCACCCATGACAGTTAGGAGGAATGGGAGAGAGGGGCACCCCCTCCCCAACAGCGTTAGTCTTCCCACTGCCCCCAGCCAGCCCCAGGAGGTCTCTGGTCTCTCTTGTACCCTGCACTGCCCCCAGCTCTTGCTGTCTCCGTTCCCCATTCCCTGTCCCCTGCTCCACCTTTTGGCATTCCCCAGAGCCCCCCACTGACCCACCCTGGCATATCCAGGCTGGGGCTGTGTGCACGTCTGTACCTGCCTGTGTATTTGTACCTTTCCCATCCCTGCGTCCCCTCCACCCCATATCCATGCCCATGCCTGTCCAAGAGCAGTCCAGAACAGGGTGTGTGTGCGCATGCACACATGTATGCCCACGGAGGACGTGTCACACAGACATCAGTTCACTTGCCTGAGACACAGCCACACTGGGACACAGGCACACCGGAGTGCCATACGCATGCTGGGGGCCACCAAGGCTGACATGGCAGACATGGGCTGCCCAAGACTCAAGGTCACGTCATCTCAACAACCCCACAGTGCACACCCAGCACAACACACAATTACACATCTCAAGACTGGAACCTGCTAACAACACAGATGCATGAAAAGACACACACAGGACCCCAAATACCCAAAGAACACACTGTACAATGGAGACGGTGAACACAGCACCAAGATATTCATGTCCCCAGACACACAGGGTGACAGCGTGTCAGTAGAGCAACTTCCCAAACCCGCACACAGAAGTACCCATGTGTCAGCACTGACACCCACGGCTCACATCATGTCTCCATGCAGAGGGGGGTACCCCACTGTCCACATACCCCCAGGAGCTGGGCACCCCAAAATCTCGCCTCCCATGCAGAAGGCCCCAAGTCCTGGGTCCAAATTCTGTGCTCACTCCTATGCCACATCCTATGCCCCCTTCCCCCTCCTTAGAGACCCCAGACCCAGGCATGAAAATAGAAGGCAGAGTGAGTCCATACAAAGCTGGCAGCAGTGCAGAGAGGGGAGGCTGCGGTGCGCCAGGGCAGGCGAGACCAGCATCGCCGTGTCCACTTGCTGTGTGATTACGGGCAGGTCCTTACCCTCTCTGGTTTAGAAGTTCAGAAGTGGAAGGCAAGGGGGCGTAGGGTCACACGCAGGCTGCCTGGTGTATAAAAGTGGGTGCTTGTTCCTCCCGGGGAGCTCCAGGTAGTCTCCTTCTTGAGGGATAATTTTTATCTCAATTCATTTTTGGGTCTTTCTCAGCTCCCATGACAGGGCTGGATCCAGACTCCAGCTCTGACCCATTCCACACCCAGAACACGTCCTACTGGGGAGGCAACTGCATCACAGACACACCCACAGGACCCCAAGGTGACAACGGGACACCCAACCCGGACACTCCATTTGTCTCTGAATGCACACCCTCAAATATGTCGTACCTGTGAGGCACAGGCACAGCTAGAGAGAAGACCCCCAAACTCAGTAGGCAGACACACACATGTGACAGACAAACCCCCAGAATTCACTCATGCACACATGGACCCTACACTGAGAACCAGACACAGCCCCCAACAGAGGCCCATGGACACATCCCCCCACAGCACCAAATGCACCAAGACATCCATTCGGAATGCCATACACCATGAGACAGACCGCAAGAAACAGGCAAAGGCTCCTCACCCCACTCAGTCAGAGGTACAGTCGCGAGCCGGCAGACACCCCTGTCCCAAAATGCAGACACGCCCAGCCCAGAGGAGACACTCCAGTAGCCTCAGATGGGCACGTACAAGCAAATACACAAGCTCACACAAAGGCTGTGCAGACACATTCTCCCAGTGTGACCCCTTCTAAAAACACTCAAGTGTGACACAGGGACACACTCTGAAATGAGACCCCAAATAACCAAGCGCAGTTTCTCTCTCTCACACACACACCCCTCCCGCTGCACATCAGCATGGTGTCTGACCAGCCTCACCGTCCACCACCCCCAGTTTCAAACCTCCACTCTGAGCAAGCTGTCCTCTCTCCTGGGTCTCGGGCTGGCTGGGTCATGCCTGCACATCCCC